AGATGAGACGCGCGGCTGCCAGGGCGCCCACCAGGCTTCCTCTCCTGCCCTGCGTGCGGGCTGTGTGCCCACGCCGCCCGTGGGCTGTCCCTCAGCGTCTGTCCTGTCCGCCGCGTGCTCAGTCCCAGTGCCTTGTGAAGGGCTCGGCGCGTGAGCAGACACGCTCCCTCCTACCGGGGACCCCAGTCGGTCTCGGAGGGTGTGACTTCAGCTCAGCTCGTGGGCTCCACGAATACGGCAGAAATAACATGAGACAACTCGGGGAAACTGAATGCTCATGGCTGCAGAGAGGAGAAGTCCGTGTGTGGTGGGGGCAGCAATGGTCAGAAATAGATGGTCTAAGCCACCGATTTGGGGAAGAAATATGGTAACAGAATAGAAGTAGAAGGATATTGTTTTGGGGGGAACAGAAAAGAACAGCTTCAAGCAAGCAATTTATGAGGTTGAGGGAGTTGGTTGGGCAGGCTTTACTCGTGGACCCGATGTTTTCAACGTAAACCCGTCTACTTTGGGCTTAATTAGATAAGCATTGACTAATTTTACCAGAGAACTCCCATTATCAAAACCCTGTATTAGAAGGATGAATGCTACCAAAATATAGGGTTCCCCCCCCCAAACATCTACACACGCTTTGAATAAAGATAAAGGCAGTGTTTATTAACATGCATTTCACTTTCAAAATTGAGCTGTCAGCTGTTACAGTGTGTATCCGTTTTGGGGGGACACCTTACATAGAAAATCATTCCATGTTTAGGTGTCACCATGAGAGTTGTTTCAGCTCTGTTACTGTGGCTAACTCACTGCATCTCTGTTGCATTTTATTCAAAAATTCTCAACCTCGGCACTGTTAACACTTGGAACCAGGTACTTTTTTTTTTTTTTTTTTTAATCAAGGGGAGGAGCTCCTGTGCATTACGGGGTGTCTGAGCAGCATCCCTCGCCTCCACCTGCTGGAAGCCAGTGCCTCTCCCCTGCATTGTAACAGGTAAAAGCATCTCTAGGCACTGCCAGATTCCGCCCAGTAGGCATCACTCCCATTCAGAGCCTTTCGTTTAGAGCAGTTAGTATATTTTTCCTGTATCTTATACTGTAAATACATTACAGTAACCCGAGGCCTGTCAGGGTGGTGTGATATGCCTGAAGTCGGAAACACTGCTGTAAAATCTCAGTTCTGGGCAGCAGCCAGGCGGCAGTAAGAGCGGTTGTTCCCTGGACGTTAGGAGGGTCTCCAGTTCACCACTCTTCCTGTTTCTCTCACTTGTTCTTAATATAACGCTGCCCTTCACGCTTTGTCGCATTTGCTTGGTTCCTGAAGTGTGTGTGTGTGCCAGCCCTAGATATTTGTTACAAAACAAGGTAAATGCATCTATAAATTTACTCAGCAAGTGTTTAATGAGTTGCTACTGTGTGCTACAAATGTTGCAGCAAATATCACAAAGTCTCAGCACTCCTGTGTCTTACATTCAAGTGCAATGTTGTATCCTAGGAGGAAACGAGTTCACCGCTGATCATCTATAACCCCAAAGTCTCAAACACTTGCTAGTGTTAAGTTTCATTGCTGGCTTCTGTAGTTCGAGGCGGGACATGATCGGGACACTTACAGTCAGAATACGTAATAAATCCCGAAGCACTGTCTCGCGTGGTATCATTTCTCTTACAGCCCCTTCTCTAATGGAAGAGAGATTTGGCGCTGTCTCCTTGGCAAGCCTTTTAAAAATTATTATCATTACTTGGAGGAACGGGAAGTGTTTTTTCTTGTCTGATGTGAGAGAGAAACCGCCGTCACCTTTCCCCTTCTTTGGCTGCTGTTGGAATGATTTACCTGGCTGAGAGCTCTGTGCAGAAACCGAGCTTGGCAAATGCATCCCGTGGAGGTTTCCTCAGACGGCTGTTCCCATCGGGTAGTTTTCACAGAGCAGAGCTGGAGGACAACGCTGCGCGCTCCTTAATAACATCTGGAGATGTTAATAATATCTGGAGATGTAGCGTTAGACGCGGCCGAAGAGCAGCGATTGGAAACGAGGCGGACACGCAGCTACGGTAGAGCTCAAAGTGAACGGCGCAGGCCAAGCCTGGGCTTGGCAGACAGGCTCGGGATTAGCGAGACGAGCGCCTTGTGTATGGCTTCCCTTCGCTCCGAAGTGCACCCCATTTTCTAAGTGGTCCTTGTTCTGAGGAGCACATTTTGGTGTTCTCCGAGCTGTCAGGATGTGGCTGCCGGGACTGTGGACACCGCGAAGGACTGACACCTTCCAATCCGTGGATGTCTGTGGGTGGGAGAAGGCAGCCACGGACACGCGGGTAGCATGTTCTCATGATTCACACTTCGGGCAGCGACGGAAGGCAAGAATTCCTTAGTTACTCGGAGACAGTGTTAGCCACAGGGCACTGGCAGTTCTCACATGGGATAAATGCTTGTTGGCTGTTTCCTGAGCGAATGCCGACGTCAGAGTAGCTGACCCGGTCCAGGAGCCACCCCCGATCCCATGGAGTGGTCCTTCCTGCTACACCGTAGCCCACTCCTCCAGCCCAGCAGAACCTCGAGGTGTTTTGAAAAGTGCCGTTTGTCCACTTCCGATGGTCTGGAGGAGGAACTGGGTCAGGCACGCGGAGCTTTCTCTGGCTAGGAGCCGGTGTCTTAACGCTCAAGGGGAGCTCTGAGGGCCAGGCATTGACGTATCTTTAGGAAAGGAGAGGGGCTCTTTAAGGAACCCATAAAATATGTGTGGTAGACAGGTGTCTAAACTGTTCCACTGCTGTTAGAAAAATGGCATTCTTGTCTGGCCGGCGTGGCGCAGAGGTTGAGCATCGACCTAGGATCCAGGAGATGGCAGTTCGATTCCCGGGGGCACGTGCCCGGGTTGCGGGCTCCATCCCCAGTCAGGGGCGTGCAGGAGGCGGCCGATCAGTGACTCTCTCTCATCACTGATGTTTCTATATCTCTCTCCCCCCTCTCCCTCCCTCTCTCTGAAATCAATAGACATATTTTAAAAAAAGAAAAAACTGGCATTCTTTTAAAATCATTCTATCGCTGAAAAATCGTAATTTGATTTGGAACATGCTTGCGAGGTGAACATTATAATGAACTTGGGACAGGCTCGGACAGGTCTTGGAAAACTGATTTTTTAAAATTCTAAATGAAAATGAATCGTTCATATGCAATATTAAAGAATCTAAAATATTCTCCTAAGAAACAGACTGATTCTCAGTGAAACTTATATGAACCAAAAAAGAGATGCCACTGACTTTGTTTTCATCCAACTCTTTCAT